TTCTGGGATTTTTTTTTATTTTAAAAACCAATTGTTTAAAATCATTTTCGTTTTTAAAATTCATTTGTGTTTTCAAAAGCCGTTTTTTATTTTAAAATCCATTTTTGTTTTTGTTGACATTTGAACTATATGTATATATGTATTTTTCACTTTGAAGCAAATTTTATAAAAAATAGTTTTATAAAATGCCATGTTGTGAGCCACCTCGGTTGCCGTAAAGGAGAGAATGTAATCGCCCAGCTTGCGAAAAAATATGCAATATGCGCTTTTCTCCGTAGTTCATGACAAATAGTGACACTTCAAACGTTAAGAGGCAAATGAATTACCCCTAACGTAAAAACATTTCTGTGTTTGTACGCCTCCACCATCCAATAGTTGTATCTGTACTCCGCCCACCGCCCTATGTCTATGTCTGTACGTGACGCCTCCCACGGCATACCTAAGGATTCATCTGTTTTGAAACTCGAATCTTTCTATTGTGGGACTGAATCGGCCTAACATATATAATTCTGTTTTTCAATAATATAATTATTTAAACAAGAGTTGCCATACTTGCTACACAGTATTGATAAGCCTATTGACCATATGCTCCGATAGAAAAAAAAAAAAAATTGAAATTAAATGATAAATTCCAAAATTCCTAATTAAGCCACCATATGGGTAAAATATTCCTATTCTTCAAATACACATATAAGAGAATACTCATTTATGAATGAAATATTTCAGAAAATTCAATTTTAAATTACCAAAAATACTAGTATGTGTAAGGTATACTAACACTTCAATAAAGTGGCCACGTTATAACACCTGGTACATAGCAAAAAGTACAAACCACTATTATATCAGTTCAGTTCGCATTTTTACGTACCTTGTGTTTTTAATATGACGTTAGTTTATAGTCGGACTCTGAGTTTCTTATTACAATTTCTTAGGCACGGGATACGAAATCAACTTATACCACAGTTACTATAGTAAGGGTGCTTACACCCTCTTCCCAATCGAGCGACTTACGTTTCCTGTGCTTCATTGATTATGTGCAACAAACATTTCTTATGAACACACTTGATATCTGGAATATCAATAATAAAATCGACTTTAGCTATCGTCGAAATGCCCCCCCCCCCATACATATCTACGATATCAGTGAAATATCAGTATCCAGTGGCACAATCACCGGCCGATGAGGGCGCTGACAGTATAAATTACATCTCCCGACCCGATTGCCCACCGCTGTATTATTTTAGTTTATAGACATCCGAACAAAACACATGTAAACCAATGTTGTAAACCAAGCAAACTGTTTTCATTTGGGTGATTGGATAGGCTAGGTCTACACCACATTATACCCACAAAGCGCTCATGTTATACTGGTATTTAATTTCTTTGTTTACATCATGACTGACGTTTTAAATTAATAAATATTTGAAGTTGTAAATAATTTAAAACATACATGGGCTTATGCTCTCCCACTATTTGTTAAATGTCACGTGATCTTTCACTTGCGACATTTTTATTGTTGCCCGTCGTGTCATCAGCACTAACACTCCTCTATGTTTTCCCTTCTTCTAATTTTCATTTTCATTTTCAATTTGTTTTCAATTTCTTCTCTATTCGGATTTTTCAAAATCTAATATGCTCTGTACCAGGACTTCAAAATGATCACTCCAATTCCGGACACCAGAAAAAATGGTAAAATACGATACTCCAACAACGTTTTCGATGACTGAGTATTTTTCAACGTGTGATAATTTAGTTATGGGCAATGCAACAATATGTTGGAATTCAGCACATTACTTTTCAAAACGCGACGCATGAATACATCTGCTGAGACACATTCAATTTAACAGTCTACCGAACTACTGGGAAACACGAAAAAATAACATAATTGCAAAAATTTGTGTAAGTAATATTTCAAACATGAACACGTCACGTGCCATAGAACGTAGATACAGCCATAAAAACACATTTTTAAAATGCCGATTCTATAAATATATATCTTATTGGGTCTTTTGTGGCCATTTTGTCGTCACAATCGGAAGATGAAAACAATTATTCAAATAACTCTCTCGCTACCGTAATGACTGATCCTGAATTCTGAAGATGGCGCTATTTAATATTCTTCACACATTTCATCATGACACCAGAGTAGAGTTAATTCCAGCTGTTTCCCTGTTTTCACAATGAGGGAAGCGCCCTCTATTGACAACCTTTGAAAATATGCGATTATAAAAATCATGGCAAGATTTTGTATACGAAAACGAAACGATGAAGTCTTGTTCGGTCACCAGCGACACAAATGAGAATGAAGTAAACCCCTAAAACTTATTCCCCACTTATGCCTGAAGGTTTCAACGTGTTGCTGAGAGGGCGGAGTTATTTTAAGCAGCGAAGTCCCAAAGCACGTGTGGTCCTGGCTTCTATGGCCAGTGTCTATAAATAGATGATTTGTTGATGGGGCAAATTATGCTGCCTCGTACTTAAAATTTAAGCCAGTCAGTCATTGTTGTAGGCTAACACCGTGACTACGGGACATTGAGGCGGGGGGGGGGGGGGTAGTAGAGGGTCGTATTAGTATTCTAGTCGCAAATAAAAAAATTGTTATAATCATCGGTTATTTTGTTAAAAAAATAATGTAAATGTATAATTTACATTATATATTACCAGTAAACCAATCCTAATCAAAATTATTATTTTATCAAAATGGCTTATAACAAACCATGATGATCCTCATAGGCTCGTTATTTTATCTTTAAACACATTTTTTTTGGCACCAGACTTTTATTTGTCACTATAATGCTTATTTTAATAACAGAACAGTTCCAAATATTCCGACATTTACAATGACATGTCCGCAATAATATATACACGTTGTGCAAGTGTCCTCGACAAGCATTGTTCTTAGTAAAACATATCACACTGGAACTAATATCGCACGTTAACGTGTGACATTGATTCCTGCATGGCTTCATTCGTGCATGCGCGTCACACATAGTACCCAGAAGATTCGTGGCAGCGGAAGAATTGTCGAACTGAAATGCATGCACAAAAAAACTGAAATGCGTGTAGATGCAATACATGTGCATATCATGTGTTGAGAATAATCATTGCCGACAACAGTAATTCAACAGGAGCAGTTGAACGGGTTGAACAGGGGATTATTCAATGTGTGATATTACTTGATTCTTACACACAATTTATCAAATATGTTAAAAAAAACTGTAAAATGTAATTAGCAATATGTTTATTCTGTAAAGTGTACAAACCTATTTGAAAACGTAAAATGCATTTTTTATTTTCTGTAACCCGTCCAAGTGAACACCCCCGCCCAACCTCCTAGTATTACGTATTAGTTCAAACATGTAGCAATGAACAGAGTTGCCAATTCTAGACGTGACAGTGCAATGTCACACAATGGTGCCACTCTTGATTGGATGTAACAAACAAAACATGGTCAGCATGTTTCGGGTATAAGACGTCACCGTACGCATGTAAACTGGAGTCCGCAAGTCATGTCGTTCACACTCGGGTTTCAGTTCGTGCTAGTATCAATGTACGTTGTTATTATATTGAGTGATCTCGAGTCTTCAATATCTTTGGAAATGTGGCCCAGAGTGTACAAAGGTCATCATTGAATGGTTCGTCCCAGGATACAACAATCTGAACAAATAATCAGAGGGCCAATTCTCAAAATTGTAACTATTGCTTGTATCCAAATTCATACAGAGAATTGACACATTGGCCGCGGTATCTACTAATTCCCCGAGGCGGCGTTTTTGTTTTTATTAGTTGACCCGTATGATGTCCACGACTGCACCTTGAAACCACCTGTATCAATGGCACCTTATATAGCTTCTTCGTAGTATTGTATTGCCTTCTCGTTGTCAGGATACCATTGATTAACTTGTATACGTAAATACTAGTCGCGAGTTCACTGGAGGTTGGATCTGGGTCAATTTCGACTAAGTGAGATTGTATCACGGCGTTTAATGTGAACGGTGACCATACAGCTGAATAGAACGG